TTAATTAGTAAAAATTCTTTTGAAATTGTTGTTAATGTTGTTGTTTTGAGCTATTTTTATACACACACATGCACATAATTAATTTATCCCTTATGTTACAAATAGTCCCATTTTCTATCCGCTGTTAACCCGTCAACGTGCGTTCTCCTCATTCTTTATACTCATTCACGACAGTGAAGTGGGTATATTGAGTTTTAGTATTTTTTTATTTATTTTTTTTTTTTTTTTTTNTGTTTCAAAAATGATTGCTTCAAATTGTCATCAGCGAAATATTTGTCTCTAAAATCACGAAATAGTTTCGCTTGATATTTTTTCTCTTTAGCCTGTGTTTGCACATTTTGCTTGATCCTCAATTTGTTTTTCTCTTTTCTTTTCCCTTTCTTGCAGTTTTAGTTAATTAAAAGTAGAGAGTGTATGTGTCTTAGTTAATAATGAATTGTTCATTATTATAATTGTTTTTTTTTTTTGTTTTTAGTTTTTATGCTAATAACAATTTTTCCTGTAATCAAGTTATGCTTCATAAGTGTTTTTTTTTTTATTAGTATTATTATAATGCAAGAATATATTGTTGGGAATATATGAGAAATACGGCTGCTGATCAATGTATTTCTTCTCACAAAAATAATTGAATGCTCGAAATGTTTTTTCTATGTTGTTTGTTTTAATTTCAATTCCATTTTCCATTCCACCCTAAATAATTGTTCAAATAATGTATGTATGTAGCTCTGGGATATGTTTTGCCTTTATATGTTTTTGTAGTTTGAATAATTTAATCTTTTCTGATGATTACATTAATTTTGCATTTAAAGTGGTTTATTTTATGCTGTGGATATGTATGGGTGTTATTAATATATTCCTCTTAACTTTTTTCCATTTTTGTTTATGTGTGTATGTATGTTGTTTTTCTTTCCTTTTTATGTATAATTAATTTGTATAATCAAAATTTGACACATTTTTGTTTGTCACAAATATTTTGCGACAAATGTTTAATATTTGTTTTTGTGTTCTTTTTTTTTTTTTTTTTAGCTAGTTTACGGTTTGAGTTCTCGGCTACAGTCTAAACCTAACACACATTTTAATTTGTATTTAATTATTATGCATATGTGTATGTCGTGTGTGTGTGTGTGTTGGTATGTGTGTGTGTGCTTTGTAACTAAATTCTGTTTTTTATCGTAATTTGTTTAACAAGCCACAGCTTCAACTCATTCTATTTTTTTGCTTCTTGCTGCCCAGCCTAAAAGTTAACTAAATCTAAAAAAAAAATAATAATTAGAAAAATAATAATAATTAAAGTAAGTTTAACATTGAAAATCAGTTTATTTTTTGATGTTTTGTCGTTTTGCGTATAAATTTAACAGCTAATAATAATAAAATTATACTTTAATTGCAATATTAATAAGAATTAAATCCATTTTTCTCATTTTCCATGTAGCAGAAGTCTTTTTAATCGCCGCAAATGTGCTTAAGCATTATATGATTATAAATTTAAAATTTGGTCACTTAATTTTTATAGAAAATCCGAAAAAAAAAAAAAATAATAATAATGTAAACAAATTACACACATTGCAATATGTTATCTAACGAATATATAAATTTGGCTTCAAATGTTACGATCAGTTTTCTTTCTTGTTTTCGTTCTCAATCAACAAATTATAACTAATTTCGAAAAGGCTTTTAAAAATTTAAGTTTAATTTAATTTAATTAGATAATAGTTTCATTTTGTTTTTCTCTTTTCTTTATAATATGTAGTTTAATCAATAAACAGAATTAATTTTGTCCTTCAGTCTAAACATATTCAAAAATCACAAATACAATTTCGATAACAATTACAATAATAAAAATAATAAAATTAATAATTATTATATCAATTAATATATATGTATGTATAATGTAATGCTAATCGCCATATTTTAATGTTGTTTTCATTATTTTGTTTTTGTTATTTTTTTTTTTTACCATGTAAATATCTAAACAACAAACATAAGAAATTTTCTGTGGAAATTAACTGTTCTTTTCATTTCTTGTTTTGTCTTGCTTTTTTTCTTTTTTTTTTTAATTTTGCTTTTGCTGTTTGGCCTTGGCTTGGCTTGCATTCATAATGTATGTATTTATTTATGTTTATTTTTGTTTTGCCTTATTTTGATGTAATTGTATTTATGTATTTATTTATTTTTTTTTTTTTTTTGTTTTATTTTTTGGTTATGCGCATGCACAATTAGTTGGCTTAAAATTTAACTGCATTTAGAAATTTGCTTTAATTTTTTGCTGCATTTTGTTGGTTAATTAATTATTATCTTTATTTATTTATTTTTTTTCTGCTTTGTTGCATTTTGTCTTCATTTTGACTAAGCTTAGAATTAATTGCTGTTCTGTTCTTACTATGAGGGCGCAGCGCCCCAAAAACGGTTTAAACATAATGTTCATTTGTATTTCATCTTCATCATCTTTAATTTTTGCATTTAAACTTAATAAAAAATATCATAATTAATAAGAATCAATGAATAAATATAACGTTTATGTATGCTTACACGTCTGCGTGTTTGTGTGTGTATGAGTGTATGTGTGTGTGTGTGTGTGTGTGTGTGTGTGTGTGTGTGTGTGTGTGTAATGTGTTTATATGACGATGGATGATTGTTTTAATGCTTATTCTTGTGATTTGACCCTGTCATATGATTTACTTTATGTTTTTCTTTTGTTTTTGTTTTTCTTATTGCTTATAATATAACATTTGACATTCGTTCCCAATATGCCGCATTCCGATGTTGGCTACGTTTGCTGCGGCTCCATTCGATTTCTTTTTTGTTGCATTTTATTATTGTGTTTATATTATTTTAATGTTTTTGTTGTTTTTTTTTTCTTGTTTTGTTTATATTTGTATTTTTTATGTTTTGTTGTTGTAGTTGTTGTTTTTGCTGCACTTAGTGTATAGGCGTTTTAACAATTGCACTGGGCGCAATATAATGATAGCCAGGTATGGGCAGTCCAGCGGTCTCCATTGATATTCTGCAAGTTAGGAAATAGACATTAGTTCAATATTGTCATTTAGGTTTAAATCAATGCATTGTATAATATTATATTTAAATGTTAAATGTTATGCCTGAAATACCTACAAAATTTCTATCTTTTACCCATTCCAATTCAGCTTTTGCTTAAATTTCATTAAAACATTTCTAAAATATAATGAAAATGTTTTCGTTTTAGTATATCTTCATTTTATTACAAACGCAGTTTTTCATTATAATTTTTGTTGATTGCATATAAATATGTTTTGCTTGTTTTGTTTTGTTTTTCTTTTTTGCTAAGAATCGCGACTAAGGGTAAAAAGCGATTTGCTTTTAAAAATTGGTAAATGTGTGTGTATTTTTTTCTGTTTTCATTTTCATTTTCATTCTTCTTTTAATGTAACTATGCAATGAGAAGTTTAGTCTAGAAGTACATTCAATAGAAGAATTTTTATCGCAATTTATTGGCTTTTATTTCTTTTTGTTTTTCGACTCCAACTACTTTGTATAAATGTCGTATATACGAGTATGTATTTTAGGTGTATGTATATATATATTTAAATATATGTTTGTATGTTATGTTTCGTATGCGTGTACATGATTTGGTTATAAAATCGTAAGCCCGCTTAGCTTAAAATAAATCTATTACATTTTGTGTCATTTTCACTTAGTAAATAATAAAAAAATCCTTATATCGTATATGCATGTATATGTTTTGTGTAAAGAGGAGAGAAATTTCAATTTCCAAATACTTTTTTTCATTCAACAATCTTTTCACTTAATTTTCACCAATTAAAAAATATTTTGGTTCACAATACAATACAAAAAAAAATCATAATTATATGATTATAATAATAATAATAATAAGAGTAATAACAAATGTGCGATCGTATATTAAATACAATACAATAATTTAGAAAATATAAAATTATGACTTAAAAACAATTTGATGTGACTTCAAGTCCAATACATAATAATAACGTTTGCCGTCTCGTTCTCTCATTGTTTTCTCTCTCTCTTACTCTTTTTACAAAGTTCACGCTTAACATTTACGAGTTCATATACTTTTCTCGCTGCCTACAGTTGGCTTCTAGATTATTTTTTAAGTGTGATTTCTATTCAAAAAGTTTTTTTTTTTTTTCTTTTTAGTATTTTTAAGCTTTTGTACGCTCGTTTGCGTGGATTGCGTCAATTAGAGCGAATTGGTCCATAAAAGTCGTCGTGCCAAATTCTTTTGAGCACAATGCATTGGAATTTTTTTTTTCTTTAATTTAATTTTTAAATTAGTTTTTAATTTCCATTTTTCACATACAATTTTTTTTTTTTCTAATTTAAATTTTCGTACAACTTCTTAAAGAAGTTTTCTCTGTTTCTCTCGACACATGGCTGAGGATGGGGAGCTTTATACTTAAGAGCTAGAGCGTAAAATACATTTAGAGCTTAGTTACTAATTGGATAATTAGAGAAAATATGAATAATAATAATAATAGTTAATCGTAGATATATTGGAGAATGTATGTATAAAGGTTTATGGGGATTAGATGACATCGATTTGATATATGTTACAGTGAATGTTAATTAAGAGGAAAAGGGTCGAAGGATAATATATGTATATGCTTGTTTAATGCTAAACCTGTGTTATCGATATTCGATAGTCAGCGATTTTCACTCGGCTGCTCTGTATCCGATGTCTAATTTGGCAAATTCTATTATGTATGTTCGTATGTCCGATGTAGCTACTACATATAAAATGGGAATAGGGCGCCAAAAGAACTATATAACATCTAATAGAAGAAAGGGTCCTCACGCTGCATTACGCATTTCACTTGGTCAACGTTTTGATTACATTACTTGGGGCTAGTTTCATGATTTGTTGCTTGTTTCATTTCCTTGACTATATTCGATACACAAATTTGTTCAAGAGCTTGATCCAATCCAATATGGTGTATATATAATATATATTTTGCGTAATATTTGTTTTCAAAAAACATTGATAAATATATATATATGTATATGACAATTTATATATTGCCTGAACTACAAACTAATTTGGATACTGTTGCAATTGGGCTTTCATCTAACTTATATCAAAATTGTCTTCAAATTGCAAATAGTTTTACAATCTTTTTTTTTTTATACATTAGTTTGAAATCTGTATTACTAGAGTAAAATTCTTCGAGAATTTGTAAACTCTAAAGCTGTCGCAACGCTATAATAAACGTATTAAGAACTAGACGAAGCTACTACTAAAACTCGCACTAAATTAGCAAATTATTACGCATTACTTATTTTTGTTTTTGTTTTTCTTTTTTTTTTTTTCTTTGTCTACTTTTTGGGCTGCGCGACTATTTAGCCTACCCCTAGTAGGGATTGAACTTGTTGCGCGCCTTTTCCGACTCGACGCCTGCCTCGGCCTGATGCTGCCGGAAGCGCGAGGTCGCATAGTGACCCTTGGCACGGTTCACGCCCGTGGTCTGGACCGGCGGACCGCCGGGCGTGCTATTGCCATTGCTGCCCAGCGAGGTCAGGCTGAGCAGATCCAAGGCGCTTAGGTTGGATAGGGCGGTGAGTGCGCCCGGTTTGGTCAGCAGCTGCAAGGCGGAGGCTAATGGACTGCCGCCCAAAGCAGCAGCAGCTGCTGCTGTTGTTGTATTTATGCCCAAAGTTACGGCGTTGCTGTTGCCGTTGTTGTTGTTGCTGCTGATATTGTTGTTGTTGTTGTTGGTGCTGTTCTGTGTGCCATTTGTGACATAATTGGCGGCGCTGCTGCTGCCATTGCTGCTGGCCGAGCTGTTGCTATTGTTGCTGCTGGCGCTGTTGCTGCCGTTGACGCTCACATTGCTGCTGCTGTTGCTGCTATTGTTGCTGCTGTTGTTGTTATTGAGCGACAAGCAACTGTTGCCATTGACACCGCCAGCAACGACTGCTGCTGCTGCGGCTGCTGCTGCTGCCGCCGCCGCTGCTGTTGTTGTTGTTGTCGTTGCTGTTGTAGCTGCGCCAGCAGCACCAGCAGCGGCAACACCACCAACAGCTGCCGCCAGCCCAGCAGTGCCATTCTGTGCTGCCTGATCCTGAAGATTGGCCTTCTGCAGTTCAACGCTGTGGATGAGGTACACAGAGAGATAGATAGAGAGAGAAAGAAAGAGAAAGGAACTTATGGGATATTTTTGTTTTTTTTTTTTTTCTTTTGCTCAAAACAATTTTTTTTTTTGTGATTTTGTGGAATTGAGTTGGTCATTTCTTAAAATTTTTTTTTGAATTGCTTTAGTGTTTTGTTATGCAAAAAAGGTTAAGGAGGTTTTTGTGTGGAGGAACGGTACGGAGTTAACGGATAGATAGCAAAGCTCTAAAGAGAGCTTTTTTTGGGCGCTATGTTTTGGTTTGTTGATGGTTTGGGAGCGGCGTTCAAAAAAATGGATGTTAGGAGTAGAAAACTTGTTTATTTGACTTGTTGTAGTTGTTGTTGTTTGGGCTTGGACCGAAAAAACAGTATTTAAAAGTTTGCAGGATTATAAAAAACTTGATTTTTGGTGGGAATTTTGGTTAAGTTTAGTTTGTTGCGGGTTGGGGAGAGAGGAGCATAGTTTTTATATTTTTTGGTAAAATATATATTTAGGTTGATGGGTTGAACTGCGGCTTCTTCATATTTTTTATTTTATTTTTTTTATTATTTTTTTTAGTATTTTGAAGTACCAATTTGTTTTCAGTTCCAGTTGCGTTTAGATTTTGCATGTGTGTGCGAGAGAGTGCGACGCGTGACGTTGTTTTAGTTGAGATGCTGTCCATTTAGCTCCTGCTCCTCCTCCTCCAAATCGACTGCTGAGCTGAGTTTATATCATATACATTGGTATACTAGATGCTAGGTTATATATTATTTTTATATAGAATTAACGTTTGTTTTTGTATTGGTTTGTTTTTTTGTTTATTTATTTTTTAGTTTTGTTTTTAATAGATTTGTCTGTAAAACTAGAGTTTAGAGTTTAGCTGGTGCTGAATTGATTTGGATTATTGCTTGTTTTATTATATTGTCTATGTATGAAATTGTGCATTACATTTCAGTAGATTTTGGAGCTACATAGATGAGACATAAGCAGTTAGGTGCTGAATGCGGGCTTACGACTTATACTTATAGAGAGTAGAGTAGAGTAGAGAGTTCAATTGAGTACTGAGCTTAAGCTTAAGTTAACAAGAGTTTGAACGCGCTGCCCCAAAACTGCTCTGCATAGTTTAAGACTCTATCAAAAAGAGATGACTGAGAGACCGAGACGACCGATACAACCGATACGACCGACGACCTCCTTAGACCTTGTTTTCTCACTTTGTCAATTTGCAAATCAATTCGACAAAATTATCATTTAGACAACAAACATACATACACACATACATAGAGACAATCATACACAAATTTTGATTTAATATGCATAGATAATTTTTTTTTTTTTTTTTTTTTTTTTTTTTTTTTTTTGCATTTCAAACTCACCTCATGTTGATTAAGTATTGGGCCAATGCCACAGAATCCGGATTACCGCTTATGGTGATGGTGCGATCGGTATTGCCGCCCTCGCGCTCCTCACAGTTGGAGATGCGTATCATTGCGCCGGAGATCTGACGTATTTCGGCAATTTTGGTGCCGCCCTTGCCAATGATGCAGCCAATCAAATCATTCGAGACTGTCATCTCGTGCTGCTGCTGCTGTGCCCGATTCGCATTGGCCGTACGCAGCTGCGAGCCAGCCAAGGCAGCCAGAGCTAAAGCAATTAACAATAATAAATAAGAGAAGAAGAAAGTAAAAACAATTTGCATACATTAATTCGGCATTTTCCCATTGTAGTATATCATGGACTTACCTGTGTGATTTATGCCACCGGTGCTGGCGGGCGTCATGCCGGCCAGGCCCAAGGCAGCCAAACTGGCCAAAGGATTCTTGGCAACCTGTTGGGAAGGCAACCCGACATTAAAATCAATATTCACATACTGTTTATCTGCTTCAGTTTGTTATTATTATGATTATGTTCTTGATAGAGGAAGTAGTATATATATTATATAAGTATATTGAGAGAGATATGGGCACAGAATTAGTCTCATGTTTTGGTTTGGTTTTATTACACAACATTTTCATTTGGTATAGTAGAGTATTAACTTGGCTGGGGTAACACAACACAACGCGCGTACAGCAAAAAAAATCATAAAATAAATACAAATATACAACTTAAATAAAACCAACTCAAACAATAAAAATACAAAAACTGTAAATTAGTATACATAGAATATTTATATTTTATATAGAAAATAAATGCATCAAAAGCAAAACCAAACAGAAAAAAAATTTTGTTTACATTATTAGATAAATATTATTAACATTTTTATACAGGTTAGAAAAACATGTTAAATTTATGTTCGAGTGAGTGTGAATGAGTGTCTGTGTGTGTGTGTATGTAAATGAGTGTTTGTTTGAATTTAATTTGTTTGTGAAAGTATATGAGAGGTATATTTTGTGGCAAATTCTAATCTTTAAAAGCTCTACGCAAAATACAGATAGAGAGACAGAGAGTATGAAAAAAGAGTTATTTTTATAATATATCTAATATACAGTTTTGAGTTTTTAAATATATTAATAGAGTAGTATATATACAAATGTGTTCATGAAAATAGATTTGCTGCACTACACAAAATAGGAATCGATTGAATTTTAAAGTAAATTTTCCAATGGAAAATAAAAAATTGCCCACTTTTTGTTTAGAGTAGCGATTTCTATTTAAATTTCTATATCTTTGCTCATATTTCATTTGTTTACAGAGATGACTTAAAGAGATGCATGAAAAAGCAAACTTCTATAGAAATAGTTATCAGTGTAGGAAGATTAATTAGATAATCGTAGGTACTTAACAAAATGAATTATAAATATTAAATATTTCATATTTTTAATTAACTGAAAGTTATTGAATTTTCCTCTTCATTTTATTCAAGACTACGATTTTCATGAACACATAAATATACTATAAGAGCAATATACTGCAAAACTAATCAGTATATAAAGAGTAAAAGCAGTAAGAACATGAAATTGACCTCATAGCTAAATATTTAAGTTACCAAATAATACCCTAAATATTTGCTAAAATTATAATTACAGAAGTATAATAATTTCTTTTCACTCTGGCCTATTTGAATGACCTATATGCAGTCAGTGCTGTTTCCTTATATACAATTTTCCTGCATCCTGCATGAAATTACAATTCCGAACCCTTAACCCCATTCCATTCATAGCATCTAGGGCATAAGAAACCTAAAATTCTGGGCTAAAACAAATAGTTTTTCTTGTTCTCTTTTGCTCAACTTCAACTTTTCAAAAACTTGCATATTCATAGGTATCGAGAGATTTGCATCCACAACACCTACAGCAAATAAGACACACACGCACATATATATGCAGCATGTGCATGTACATATATGCATTATATATATACAACATATACGTCTATACATATATATTTTTTTATGTATATATGAGCAGGGTTGGGTTAGACACGCGCTTTGTAAATTAATCAAATCAAATGCAAACTTTTATAAATAATGAATGAATAAAAGTTGCACAGATATAACTACATATATATATCTATATAAATACATATATATATATATACAAATGCAACTAGGGGAAAATATAAACCGAAAAAAAAAACTGAAGGGTAGAAAATTCATCAAATATTGAAATGAAATGTTTGTGTGTAAAGCTGTGTGTCTCTGAAATCTACATATATGTATATAATATATTTAGTATGTAAAAACTTTGTGTGAGTGTGTGTGTTTTAAATCAAATATTTATCTAACGCACAAACAAATGTAACATGCTCAATGCTTCACTGTATGAAGAATAAAAAAACAGCAATATTTTTTGCTTTTGCATTTTTACAAATGGAAATGAACTTGCAACTCAATAACAAGAGGGAATTTGGCTGAGAGACGGAGACGGGGGCGGGTGCAGGGGCGTGGTCGGTCGTCATAGAAAGTAGCGTTTGGCATATTAAATAAACATATCTTGTTGTAGCAAAAAAAATAAAATAAAATAAAAAGAAAAGGAAACAAATGGAAACAATTCACAAATGATACTGCAACCAAGTTTTGTGTCATCATAAAAATGCATTTGATGGGTTGTTCGGAGCACTCTCCCGAGTGGCGGGATTTTTAGTGTGGCTCAACTAAAAGGGAAACAAAATGGGAGCAAAAGCAAAAATAAACAAACAAACAAACAAAAAAAGAATATAGTAAGTAACCCACAACAACTTTGTGATCCAACAGTTGCTTGGGGATGAGGCGCATATGGGGACACATGGGGACACACATAACGTTAATGTTATTGAAATGTGTCCTGACCACACAGTTGCTGCAACACGGGCATCGTAAAAGAAATGGCAGAGGTAGTAAAGGTACAACTACAGCAACACAAACTACATATATAGAGAGAGAGGCTGGCTAGCTGCTGGGTGGGAGGGTACTAGAGGGGGGTAACACAACTACAGACTGTGTGTGTGTGTGTGGGGGGAGATGTACAGAGGAGCAGGAGCATACATACGATACACGGAGTAACAACAAACAGCAATGCACAAATACAACGGTATAACAGAGGGGGGCAGGAGCTGTCAGGGGCGGGGTTTGGTTCGTACAGGTTGATGTACAGCTAGAGGGTACATAGTTCAAATACAGCAACACATGCCAAAAAAGAATCAAATGCTGTCCTGGCTCGCAAGCTTCGACTTTTTTTTTCAGGATATGTATGTTTCATTTTGATTTTGATTTTGATTTTGATTTGCTTTGTATTATTTTTTGCCGATTTATTTGGAATTGTTGTTGTTGGTATTTGGTATTTGTTGTTGTATTTTCGGATCAATCAAAACTCACATCGGGCATTTGCTGTAGGTGATGGTGGTGTGCTGGTACCGCTCCTGGTAAATGTGCCCCCTTTAACAAAGGATCCGCTAAGCCTGAAATACCAGCATGTAGACCACCGGTAGCCAAAGCAAGTGGAAATACTGGACAGGTCTAATAGTATTACATTTTTTTTAATTCGTTTTTTTTTTTTTACGATATTGTGTTCGTGGAATTTGAAGGTATTTTTTATTTGTTGTTGTTGTTGTTTTGCAAAAATTTTCAAAGAAGAAAAAAGTAGAAGAACAAAAGTTGATTTACCAAACATAAATTTTGAGCTCAAATATCTGTTGTTTATTTTTATTTATTTTTTTTTTTTATATTTATATATAATTCAAATAGAAAGCTTATAAAATATATATATGTGAATATATATTTCGCTAAAGTATTTTAGTTGGAAGCTTGCATAGATTCTCGTTCATTGGGACGGAGAAAAAGCTTTTGTAGGTCGGAGAGAGAGAGTGAACAAAAAAGTAGAGTGTGCAGAGTTTTGGTGTAAACGAAGGCAGTTCATGAATTTTAATATATGACATAAGTTTTGAGTTTTGGTAATTTATTGCAGAAAAAATAATAATTATAATACAAATGATAAACACAACTAAGAGAACAAACTAACAGAGGAGTGGGCAAACGATTTTGGGTCTGAATACTGTTGCCAGATCGGGTTAGCAAACCGTGAATGGATACTAAAAGTACTTGATGAGCGAAGGTCAATAAGTTAGTCGCAGTTAGCTGCCAATTTAGTGCCCAAATATAATCATAAATTATTTAAGGCACAGGTGCACACCCAGGTGCCATACTAACTTATGCTCTTTGTGTACCTAATTGACAACCGCTGGACCGCGACTATTGACTGGGATTATTCATTCAACACTACACGCCGCATTAAGCTAAAAACCAACACCGACAATAACCAAGGGCGGGTAAATAGAGAGAGAAAGAGAGAGAGCGAGAGCGAGAGATGGTATAACTATTTTGTTTGAATTATTGTTTTTGTTTGCGGACATTAATTGAATTTGAAGTGACAACAAAAACTTTTTGTTTAGTTTTCAAACTATATTTGTTTGGCACAAAGTGGCTGGCGAGGGCTTAGAGGGACTGTTGTTGCTGTTGCTGCAAATTTTGGACGGGGAAACCAAAGAGATATATACGATATAGATATATACTATATATATTTTGTATATACGGACGAGAGTAGAGTTGAGTGATGTGAGGGCTCGGGCAGGACGATATTTGAATAGTATGTTGTTGCAGTTGCTAATTGTATTATTATTATTGTTGTTGTTGCTGTATTATGTTAAATGTTGTATAATATACGAATACATATACATACATACATACATATATGCAAACATATATATATGCATATGCATATTTATAACACCTCTAAGGTATCAGCATTTTATGGGCCGACACATAAATTATTCTAGCTGCTGCCGTTGTTGTTCTTGTTGTTGTTGTTTTTTGTGATTAAAATTGTTGCGCAAATGGGATTTTGTTGTTTTGGCAAATGAACTTAACATTTTAATATATCTGTATGTAAGTATTTACTACACAAAAATTAAGAGTATTAAGTTTTGTATATATATTAAAAATATATTATACCGAAAATAAACGAAGGATAAATAGAGCAAAATTTGATATATTTGTTTTAAATTTTTTTGGGTTTTTCAGTTGAAATACTTTTAGTAATTGTTTATCACTCAAAAGGTTTGTTGTGCTTCTTGTTTATGGGGTATATTTATATATATGTGTATTATTATTATTATTTTTTGTTTAATATATTATAGAGATAGTGTAGTTTGAACATACTTCTCCACACGCTGCACGCGAGCCCTCGATTCGATTACAACACACACAGAGATACAGAGAGAGTAGAGAGAGTGACTGAGATAGATGAGAAACCCATTCTTTTAGTTTTGTGTGTGGTTGTGAGACTAGTGAAGCCCCCGCACAAAAACTCACTCGGTTGTAGAACCCTAAAACCAATGATTCCAAAAGTGCGGCCGCCCCCTTTTCCAAAAAAAAGGGCAGACACGACGCACTTGACGAAATCGAGCCAGAGAGAGAGCTGACACTCTCATTACAAGCTCTTAACCTGAGAGAAGAGAGTGCGAAAGAAACTAAAAAAAGAACACAAAAAAAATTATGTAAAAATTTATTTAAAAATATTATTAGATATATTTATTAATCAATATTTTCTTTTAGTTGCTGCTGTAAATGATTGAAATTAGTTCTTTGATTTTCGGAGGGGGCCACCTTTTGGACATTTGAAAATTGACTGGGTTCAACAATACAAGAGATATAAATATGTGAATATGAGCGCAAAGAAACGGTAATCGACTGGGTGTAATAAGTGGACAAAGAGCACCCACAGTCGGACAGAATCCAACTGAGGGCTCTGCGGGACATTTCAGAGAACTGCGATGAGAGTGGGTTACAAGTCGGTTCGGCTCTAGACAGCTGCCAAGGTTCAAGGGATTGTTTGATAAAAGTTTGTGGATAACAAAGATAGAGAGATAGAAAGAGAGAGGTGCAAATAATAAAAAGGTATTCTAAACGAGCATTGGATATAATTATAATTAGAGTGGATGAACAAACTAAAGACTCTTGTTTTATACACAAAGATAGGCATATAGAGAGAAATGTACATAAAATCAATTGAGTTAAGAGTTGAGGCAAACGGTTTTGTTTCTTGACGCGCATAGTGGTAGGTAAACCAAAGTAGTTATAATAGCCAAAAAGAAAGAAATTATTTATAGATAATATAGACAACAAAAATGTTATTTAGCTTATGAAAAGAATGGCAATATAAAAGTAAATGAATATTGGATTACGATGTATTTGGAAACAGTTAAAGTATGTAGAAATTAAGATAGATATATAGAAAGATTCGGCAGTAACTAGCTATAGAATGCGGCGTTATATTTGATCTCTTCGAGTAGATCTTACAAGACGGCTTAGACTAGACATAAATACATAATTCTAGGCACTGTTTAACATACCTCTTGTGTGGGCACCGCATAATTGCCCTGTATGGTAAAGGCCTGTCCGTTGGCCAGGATAACGGGTCCAGTTACTTGAGGCTTTGGTCGATACGGTATGGTAGCACCGCGTGGCGGGGACTGTTTAGGGGGAAGGAGAAAATATATTAGTTTGTGAAGTTGCATGTTGAGAATAACTACAAACTAATTCATATATAATATCTGGCCATAGATGGCGCCACAACTTGCTCTGTGCTCACAATAAAATGGCAATGTGATTAATTTCATCACTAGATTACAAGAATTACCCATTTCAATTCATATTCAATTATTTCAAGGTATAGCAATCGAATTATAGCGCTACCCGCCCATAGATGGCGCCACCTGTCACTAAATTCACTTTAGCTTTGACCAACTTACCTCCAACATGACAAGACATATCTGATAGATGCATTGGGTTATCTGCTCAGCGCTGCCACTCAAAGTAACCGCACGCTCCGTGGAGTTTGGCAACATTTCGCTGGCCACCTGTATGGAGCAGCCTGTGGTTTGGCGTATTTCCTTAATCTTTGAGCCACTCTTTCCTACATGTCGTAGCGCATAAACATAATAGAGAGCGAGGGAAAGAGGGAACAATTTCACATTTCGATTCTTTATACATATTTAATTTATGTGTCCATACACACCAATTAACGATCCACATTGACTGGCGGGCACAATCAATCGAATGGGTATTTGAGTTTTACCAACTTTGCCAACATCATTGAACTGCGAGCACCACTGAAACGGGTTTCAAGTTAGTAATGTGAAGCGTGAGCTTATTTCAAGAATTGAGTACAACAAACACCATTCTGCCAAAGACTTTCTCTAGCCAAACTGCGATTGTTTGGCAGTACTCTCATATATACTATATACTTTATATACATATATCGTGTTTGTTGTATCAATTATTGTGTGTGTTTTTCAGTCTTATGCAATCGACTGTGTGGCTGGGCAGCCGTTTCAATCTAGCGCACACATACCTCTTCAAATTTCTTTGTAATTAGCGTAAATGCCGAGAAGATTGCATTTGTTGTGCCAGATACCGTTACAATGCGTTCCGGGCATGAGCCATCCGAAATGTTAATTTTGGCACCAGACTGTAAAGATTTATAGGCGGTTAGATAAATGTAAAGTGAGTTGTTTCTTTTTTTTGTCTATGCTTACCTCTTCGCGAAATCTGTTGACAATTTCACCCTTTTTACCAATAATACTACCAACTTCCTGTAAAGAGAGAGAGAGAGAGAGAGAGAGAAAAGATATTGTATTAGTATGAGAAATAGACATTTTTAAATATGTAATATATTTTAAGAGCTTCTAGATCGACAAATTTATATATGATCTATAAAAACAAATACTTATACCATATATGCCAATAGATTAAATATTCATAGCATTATTAAATAATTTATTATGTT